ATTTTTCATTTCCACAGGCTTTTGGATATGAACCATAGCCATCCCTCCACTTTTGTGAGTTAGGCATTCACAGATTTGGTCGTTAATAGATTGCTGTACTTGCCACTGCTCCAGTCCTCGAACTACATCACTGACCAACCCAGTAAAATTTAATTTCTATGTAGGTTTTTTGAATAATATTGCTTATGTTTTTAACCTGGATAGCTTGGAAAACTCTTATCCAGGCTCTCCATATTTGCGTGGACTCCTCAGCTGCACATCAATCATTACTGACTATTTACTATGCTGTTTTGTTGCTTTCCCTGAGAAAAGAAATTGCATGACACATTTTTCTCCTTCCCTTAACAATCAAGCTGGTTTTATTTATGTTTACTGTGTGGTCTCTGTGCCATTATAGGCTTGCATAGCCAGAATACTGTTCTTTCCATTCTGGATAGTTTCCATATTCTGGTCAAATTCTGTTGTGCAATTTTTCCTTGCAACCCCAAAAATTCTGGCACCAGTCATAATACATTAAAGGACATGTAAAGCCAGTGTAGCATGAATTTAAATGCACCATTTTATACAGGAAAACTATACTATGCTTTGTTCTTCACGGTAGACTTTTTAATGCACATTGCCTTGGGCATTTTCACAAATTGGAAAGGTGGTTCAGAAACGCTATTCTTTTTTTTAAAAAAAGTCTTTATCCAGATTATCTCTTGGGAATTTCTGCTTAATTAGTGGACTCTTCTAAATATTGGCAATTAATTCTATGTTCTCCCACTCTTACTGGAAACGATGTAGTTTTCAGTTGTTCAGCCACTAGTAAGTCATTTGTCAAGTTTGGACCAGAAAACTAGTCTGACCCAGATCAACAATCTATCATTCCTAGAATAGCAACTGTTTGCTTTGAAACCCAACCTAAAACTCAACCTGCTTATGATCACTATTGAGTTTGTCAGTGCACTAAGCAATACATTGAGCATCATTTCCCCTCTTTCTGCATGCTAGTCCATTTACTATGTTCTACAACTGGTCCTCTGTATCCACATGGATCCCATGGATTCCACCATCCACAGATTGAAAACAATTTAAAAAATAATGCAAACTATGACTTTGCCATTTTATATAAGGGATACCATTTTACTGCTCAGTTGTATATCATGGGACTACACCATCCATGGATTTTGGTATATATGGGAGTCCTAGAACCAAACTCCAGTGGCTATCACTCACTGTATGCATGAAAAGACTCCAGAAGCTGAAAGGAAGTAATTATGAATTGTTGACCTTGTCCCAGTTCTATATTTATAGCTAGATCTTTCCACTTAATGCCTGCATGTTTATCATGGACACTTACAAAGAAGTGCAATGTGCTTCTCACACTGATAGATAACATGCAAAAAAATAACAGGGCAGCTAAGAGTGGGATGGTAGTGAGGCGACACTTCCTTCTCTTTATCCATAAGGAGTCTAATGTCTAAGTTTCAATCCTCAGATATGACATCAGCACAAGCTTCTCCTACAGGAAACAGTCAAAAGACTAGATTGAGACAACTAGCATGTTATGAAATCACTTGTTGATATATCTAGCCCTAGATGCCAATGAGAAGGTAGAAGAGAGATGGAACTGCCATTTTGAGTAGTGACTGTGGGGCTCTACAGAAGAAGAAGGAGGAGGAGGAGGAGGAGGAGGAGGGGAGGAGGAGGAGGAGGAGGAGGAGGTAGTAGTAGTAGTAGTTGTTGTTGTTTATTTTTCTACTCTGTCTCCATCTCCCCGAAGGGACTTGGGGTGGCTTACATGGGGCCAAGCCCAAGGCAATATACAATTAAACACAGAATAATAAAATATTAAAATAACGTAAGAACAGCATCATCATAAACAATAGTAAACAAGCATCATAACCAACAACAGAGATACCTCTAGTCTCATTTTGGGGGAGGGGGGGGGATCAATGCACAAATGGGTTAGTGGATAGGCTGATCAAAAAGGTGGATAGAACGTATAGTAGTATAGGAATAGAGCAATTATAACAGGATCATTTCAGCTTAACTTAAAAGTGTAATAATCAAATATAGGAACTTGAATTCAGGTCATGATTAGGGATCATCTGTCAAAGAATCATCAATAGAATGCACAGCGAAACATTAACAGCTTTAGTTCCTTACGGAATGTGGATAAGGAGGGTGTCAGCCTAATCTTCCTGGGAAGGAAGTTCTAGAGATGAGGGGCCACCACCAAGAAAGCCCTTTCCCTCGTCCACACCAACCGCGCCTGAGACGGGGGTGGGAGCGAGAGAAGAGCATCCCCTAAAGATCTTAAGGACCGTGTGGGCTCGTAGGGGAGGATGCGGTCACAAAGATATTTGTTTGTTTGTTTGTTTATTTATTTATAGTATTTATATTCCACCCTTCTCACCCCACAGGGGACTCAGGGTGGATTACAATGTACATATACATGGCCAACATTCAATGCCATAGACACACAACAAATATAGATAGACACTCAGAGGCTATTTAACTTTCCAGCTTCTGGCCACCAGGGGAGCTGTCGCTTCCTCATTCTTTGCATACTTCCTGGAGATTTTTTATGGCCTCGTTAGATAGATTGCGTGGATAGATACCATGCAATCAATAACAGGGCAGGTTAACAAAGAGTGATATGGTAGTGAGACCATACTTCCTTGGCCTCACTACCAGGGGCCTAACTTCCCTGACTCCTGTCCTAAAGCAATGGTCTTCAAACTGTACTTATTTTAATAGTAGATATAATACAATCTACAAATGGTTCACATTAAAATTAATATATAATATGATTTCAAAATAAATGCTTCAGGAAACCATAAAATCTCATGGAAATTTACCTCACATGAATGAGATGGTGAATGAAAGCAAATGAGATTCCTTTAATGATAGCTGTGCAATTTTAATTACACACTTGTATGCCCCAAAACATTTTGGTTTGAAACAATCTGATACAGGAAAGGTTCTCTAAGGGGCTTTTCACACTACACCGTTATATCAATATGATTCCATTTTAACTGTTCTGGCAAAATACTGTAGAAGCATGATAAGACAAACAAACTGGAGCTCTCTCGTTGCGAATTCTAATTACAGCATCCCTTATTTGGGATTCTAAAATCCTCCAAAATCCAGAATTATCCATATGGATGACTGATGATTTCTGATGGTTCAATATACAGAAATTTGGTTTCATACAAAAATTATTCATAATGTTGTATACAATTAGTTTCAGTATATGTGTATAAGGAGTATATGAAATATACTTTCATATTTAGACGTCTATTCCATTTCCACAATATATTATGTACAGATATGCAAATATGGTTATTCCAAAATATTTCTCACCCAAAGCATTTCAGATAAGAGATACTCAATCTGTACCTCGCTCTAAACTGCAAATCCTAAAATATCACAAAATGTTTTACCTGCAGGCTCTACTGCGTTTTATGATTTTTAAATTTTCACTAGATGAGGTTTTATGTCTGTTTATTGTTTGTGGACTTATGCTGTTATTTTAGATGCTTATGCATTGTTTGTTTTATGTCTGGCACTTTGAATGTGCTCTTGTAAGTCGCCCCGAGTCCCTTCGGGGAGATGGTAGCAGGGTATAAATCTATTATTATTATTATTATTATTATTATTATTATTATTATTATTATTATTATTACTATGGACTTAAGTAGCATCATTATGTTATAATTGAGTAATATGAAAAGATACCAAGATAGGCACTATAAAGCACTAGGTAGGAAACACTTGCGAAACCTCTGGAAAACTGACGCCACATGATTTATTGTGGAACAAGGTAAGACCTGTGAAAACAGTACTTCAGGTATTATCGTTAGTTTTGGTCCTGCCCCTTGCTCAGGGCAATTGGGAAGGGAAGGGAGCCATTTTTTAGTCAGTCTCAGCAAGGAAAGCTAATGCACAGGATGTGTGCAAGCTTCCCCTGTACAAAAGCTTCAACCCTTAAGACCTTCCGGGGGAGAACAGTCTTAAGAGTCTCCAAAGATTTCCAGGGAAACAGCCCTAAAGACCAAAGAACTCCAGCTGGAGAACATCTAAGCCTTTACTGGTAGGTCCACTCGGCGTTCGAGAAGCAGTTCGACCCGGTAGCAGAGCCCACATCAGTAAGGGTTAGATTACAGTCAGCCTGGAAGAAGTTAAAAAGGGGATTTTCCATTTAAAGTAAAGAAGAAGTTATTGAAGACAGTTGCTTGTCCTTCGTGGGCAAGATTAGGAAGTCACCAGTTGCATAAAGCTTGGAAGCATTTCTTTAGCTTTACTGAAGACAAGAGAAGTTTCTGTTTGATTGTTCATTAATAAAAGACTTTGTTATACTTCACAAGCCATCTAAAGATCATTTGTGGTGGACAACCTCTGAGAACTTCTCCTTGGGCTTCCCGCTGGGCAAAGATTTTACGTCCTGTTCTAAAGACAATTATTTACAGGCCCAGCGTGTGACAGAACAGTGTTAATTAACAAATAGTTACTGTATCTATGCATGTATAAGTCAACCTCATGTATAAGTCGAGGATAGGTTTTGGGGCCAAAATTATGGCTTTTGATATGAGCTGTGAATAAATTAAGGGTCATTCCATGGAGAGGGGAAACCACCAATGCTGTCCCAGGGGGCCAGACACCTTTGGCCACCACCAACACCATTTCCTTGTGCAGGCATCCAAAGAGTCCAGAATAATCCCCATGATGGAGAGAGTAGAGGGGGTTGGTGCTTCTTTTATGTTCTCCTGGAACTGATAGCTTCCGTTTTTTCGCCCGAGAAAGGGATTGTTCCTTTTTTTGATAATAGTTAAGATACAGTACTCACATTGCTCCATGGATTAATTGGACCATTTCTAAACTTATACATGAGCGTATAGGGTAACTGCAATCCAGGACCAGGCCTCCCTCCACCCATCTATTCCCATCAGCATGCAGAGACCAGTCACGTAGAGCATGCAGCATGCAGTAAATGGAGAGCAGAGGTTAATAACCTGGAAGCATAGGATCTGAGAATGTGAGAACAGGTTAAAGACAACAGCTCCTCTCCATTGTCACTGAGGGTCGAGAAGCAATGCTGCAGCGTAGAGCAGTGGGAGTGGGGGAAATACAATTTGTCCAAGACATACACATATCTCCGCAAGTGGCGGCAGGTGTAACTGCAAGAAAAGGGTAAAGGGGGGGAGATAAAAAGAAAAGGAAAAGAAACATAGAGGAATTTTCCTTTAAGAAAACTGCACCCAAACATGATCCAAACAAGTCAATGACAGATGTCAAAGGAGCAAAGCAGCAGTTTGAAAAAAAAAGTTTTAAAAGTAGAAAGGATGGATAGTCTGTACAACAACCCAAGATGATTTCATTACTGACGCAAAGGAGGTTGCCGGCTTTGGCAGAGAAGATGTGTGTAAACACACCAATGTTGCAGGATTTGCTTTTGGGGGAGAAAAAATGTCAAGCCTTCCTTTCATGCAACTAAAAGACAAATGCTCTTGTGCCAAGATGTAATATAAAATGTTATGGGAACAGGCACACAGCTTGTGTGGTTTTATACAAGTTGCCATTTTCAACGAGAGGAATGAAAACATTCATTGCTAAGTTACGGCTTTATGGGTCTCCTAGCAGCCTTTAGGAAGCTAGGAGTTAACAATAACCCAGTTGGCCACAATGGTTAGAAAGTTATGGGATGGTTAGCCCTACAGTCCATGAATCATGAGGATATTAACTCCAAGTTCTGGGTTTGTTTTTGTTTTTTTTATTTGTTTTCTGGTGTGCATCCGTTGCTCTCTATGTGCAGCACAAAGAAGAGTTTCTTGGGAATCTCATTTAGATCCCTTGCTTTATTGTAACCGATCCCTCTCTGACCATTTCCCAATACAAGCATACCACTGTTCACCAAGGAAATGCATTCCTGGGCATTACTTCTTTAACAGAAACTTTGGTACCACAGGTTAAAATCGCATGAAAATAAAATGATTCCTGCACCACAAAGGGAAAAGAGTAACTCAACATGTTTCAACAAACCTTTTATCCAAAATTAACTATATATGCATACAGGAAACGAAACAACAAGGTCAGGTAAGCCTTGCGTAAGTTAATAAGACAATTGTGAACCTTCTTGAGAAGATTCGAGAGCTCCTTCTAAAATGTATCCAGGGATGACATTTGCCTCCACCTTTTTAAAGTTTTCCATTTTGGTGAACAAACGTACAGATCTATGCTTTTTTAAAACATGCTAAGGAGACTTGATGATGGAAGCTCATATCTTTCTCCCCTTTCTTTCTGTTTGTTGTCCATGTGTGCTCAGTAATTTCGTGAATTTCTACCCCGCCTTTCTCAACCCCCGAGGGGGGACTCAGGGCGGCTCAGTAAGGAATTTTGGAGGTAGCTGCTGTTCACTTTTCCTTTTGTAGGCAAGCACACAGCTTCAAGAGGATGGGCTAGAGATGAAGTCCATTCTTTTCCATCTCAAGCTTTAGATTAGGGAGGTACTGTAGATCATAGTTCTGCAATGCAACAATAAAACACTGTATTCTTCCATCTTATCAATGGTCTTAAAATAACCCTTCCTGTTAAACAGAAGATTGGGGGGAAAGCAGGGCTGATTGGGTTTGAAAATATTCTGTTAAAGGCTTTGTTAACAGAAATGCCTGTATTTGTCTAACTGTAATTGGAGCAGGAAACACATTCAGGACAGGCTTGTGTTGATAGACCCGGTGTCCTTTTAAATGGACACCATAAATTTCTGTGGGACACTCAGAAATGCCTCTCACTCTTGTCTTTGGGATCATCAGGGCTAAATTTAGCTATAGTAGTGCCCCCATCCTCAGAAACTTATTTTCATATAGGAGAACAGTCACTCTTCCTTTCTCTTGTATTTGGGAGAAATAACAGCAATGCAGAAGGATACTGTTGAAGAATTGGGTTAAGGATATGACTGAGATTTCACCCTGCATGTCTCTTTCTGTCTGCCTGTCTCTCTGACAAACACATGGAAACATACACCAGATAGCATTAAAGTCATTAGGACAAAACTGTATTTTATTGTTTGGACTTGAGATTTACACTTCTTCCCTCCTGTCATCCAATCTTATGTATTTATAGATGTAACCAGGAAAATGTTGAAACTGGTCCCAAGTCTAAACATGTGATTTTAAAAAGAAACATGAATTTTCTCAGAAAATATTATTTTATACGATATTCTCCTCTCATAACAAAAAAGTAGCTTTCGTATGTCAGGTTCAGCATATGATTGTGCTTTCTACAAGATTATCTTTTTCTTTAAAAAGAAAACCAGAATGCACAGTCAATTATTTTGCTTTTTAGGGAAAAATGTGCATAATATCTGCATTTTATTAAAAATCAATGAAAAGGAAGTTATTAAAGCAAAACTAATGCAATCTCTTGGGGTCATTTTCTATTTCTTAACCTCAACATTGATGAACAGATTTTCCCTTTGTGAACAGGGCAAGAAGACTTTAGCCGATTGCAGGCTGCACGTTTTCCTCTTGCAAACAGTCAACTTAATTTCTAGCTATGTGGCAGTAAAGTTCTGAACTGTTTGATATGACCATTTTAAAAGTTAGTATTTGGAATGTCTGGGTAACCGGAGCCTGGGAAATCAATAAGTGTGGTTTGGAGTTTTCCTATTGAAAACAGTTGTTTTTACTTAAGGATGAAACTCAGCCATTTTGGAAGATAATGAAACCAATAAAACATCTCCAGTGCCTTCTGAGTGTATTTTCCTCCAAAGTTATATGCTGCATAAATCTGAGGAGTTATTTGAAAATAAAATATTATCATCTGTTCTGTTTTGCCAAGGAAATATTTTTGAAAAAAGCCTTTATGCTCTTGAACTCCTGCACTGTAAAATGCAAAATAAGATCCAAGAGCTTTTGCAGCCAAACCAATATGAAAATAATATCTTCAGAGAACAAGCAATTTCACAATGATATTAGAAGCACTATTTCAGAGACCAAATAACGGCAGAAATTTATTTGTAAAGACGATCTATCTGATACAAGCTTAGTAATCAAGCTACCAGCTACTCAACTGCACATGTTCACCCTCTTGGAAACTTTTAAGATCTCAGGATTATAGACATATAACAGCATCTACACTGGGCTAAAGGGAGACTACTTGGTGTAGATATATTTCATAAATAAAAGGCCATCCATTTCACTCTTTTATTAAAAGTAAATTTTGTAAGAAATAGCATAGGATGGCTGCATTCGGTAAGTGTTCTGTAGGTTTTACAATTTTGACAAATTGCTTGAGGATATGGATATAACATTTGAAATGAGAGAATAATCATCTGTATGTGTTGCTTGCACCAGATCTACTATGTAGATCTCTATTCAATTAACTTAATTCCTACCTGAGACTTTGGATATTTTCTCATGAGGGTTTAGTGAATCTCATCTTGAAGGACGCTTCTCTTGACCCAGGAGATCTGAATTACTTTAACGCTGAACATGACTTGCCTAATTTGGGCAAAATGTTTGAATACAGAACGACGTCTCAGTTTAACCTGCATGCTAAGCTCCATTGGTACTTTTCGAAATTTACCTAGTTTTTCGGATACTGGCAGAAGTATATATCCAGTGAGCTAGCCAGTGAGAATATGCTGGAGTATCAATTTATTTAAGCAAAGATTTTTTAGCATTTGTGATATGTCAACTTACACTTCAAGAAAAAGGATTTGCTTTCAGAATAGTAAAATCATGCTTAAATTAATACTTTTTACTGATGATGTTCACAGTGAGAATATACTCGAAACCACGTGGCAATGAGAGCGATTGGTCTCGCGAAACCCACTTATAGTGCCAAGGCAACGAGGATGTCAGGTGGGGAGACGTTGACTACCCACGAAAGATTACTACTACCACATCAGCTCTAGATGATTAAATATTATTTTCTGTGGGCGAGCAGATGGTGACTACTGGATGGCATATGTACTGTATCAGAAACTAGAGCTGATGCGGTCTATCCAATGCAATTTTCTGAATCAGCACCCCAAATAACCAAACCAAATCTAAAGTTGGCCAAAAGTCAATTCGTAACCCATTAGGTACTAATTTTATTATTTATTTACCTTATTTATATCCCACCTTTCTCTACCCTGAGGGGGACTCAAGGCGGCTTACAATCTCACCTCCATGGTGCCTTAAAACATACATAATTTATAATTTTGCAGAGTGATCCCTGGTCAAAGTGGTCCCTGAACCATAAAAGGTTGTGAAGCACTGGTGTAGAATATCCTCTTCAGATTATGATCTTCTTGAAACAGTACCAGAAACTTTTCAAATATCAACTTGGTGTGAGTTGACCTTAGCACAGCTATAATTTCTAGACATATGTTCTATTTGTCCCCAGAAGAAGACAATGGCAAATCTCCTCTAAGAGGTTTCACCTTAGAGTCTTCATAAGTTGTAAGTGATCTGAAGGTAGACACCAGCACAACTAGAAAAAGCCTATCACATGTACCCACAAATTTAATCTCTCAGAGCTGTGGGACATACAACTGAGGCTAGATCTAAATTGTTCAAACTGCATTATATGGTACGTTTACTCAAATAATGCAGTTCAGTGTGGTCTAAACCGCATTGCATGGGTCTACACTGATCATATAGTGCAGTTTGAACTGCATTACATGGCAGTGTAGATCCAGTCGTCTTCTCTGCTGAAGATCTCAAAAACTGACAGATGGGAGAAGGTATCTTTCATGTATGCTGCCCTCAAGCCATAACCTGACTAAGAGATAGAGCCACACCTTTTCCTCTCTCATGCCCCTCCTGCTCCATGGGGGCACTGCTTACTGGGAAGCCAATAAAAGAGCTTAGCAATGGGTCAATGCACAAGTTTGCCAAGTTTCACACTTTTAACCCAAAGTGCACAATTTCAGGTTTGGCTGCTCAGCTAAAACCAGCTACCTGGGAAGACATCCATAATAAGTGGGTGATGCCTGAATGCTAAAGGTTATTTATAGAAAATATATATCATACCTGTTCATATTAAAACTGAGTCTTGGCTTTACAAAATGAGGATTCTTTTATTATTATATGGGATCAGGGCTACAGCTTCATTTAAAAAGGTGTCATAAAAAGGAAGTCCAACAAAGATTATAGAGTAGGTCTAGACGTAGTTGCTGAACCATGTAAAA